AAAACTCGAAACTACTTCAAAATATGACAATCAATTTAACAAAATTGAAAGATTCAAACATATAATTCAACGAACTAAAAATCAAGTGTTCATGATAACGATTCAAAAGTTTACTATAATGGTTCAAGAGTTTATATATATATATATATATATATATATAAGTACGTAATTTATTGACCACTTTTAAGCGATCAATCACAAAGTGGTAAACCACCGTTATGAAGAATCAACTACAACAACTAGTTGCCTAAAAGTCAAAGAAAGTGAAATCCGTACCTTAAGCGGAATAGAGAATTAAAGCACGATCAAACGAGATTCACGGTAAAGTTCGACTTGCTCGYGTGCCTAACGARTGCGCAAATCGATTATTACTTAAACAATGTAAGATCATATCCTAATTATACTAATAAATTACTTAGGTCCTACATGTTTATAAACAACTTAAACTTCAAATACGACAGCCAAATTTGTATTAAGAAATCGACGCAACACTTGGCTTTATATAATTCCGATTCGACTTTTAACAGCTTTTGACCTTCATTTTCGGGAGCATTTTTACCCTACTTAGAGACCAATACAGAAAATACTATCTAAACGAAAGATATAGTATGATATGCGATGAAACTACTGGTTTTCAAATAACCTCATTTGAATTATCCATCTATTTTATACGAATATTACAAAACAACAGATCAATCCTAAATACATTGTAAACAGCCCCGAAAACATACTGTTTTGGGCCACTTAGATTCATAAATGGATTTTCAATCCTACATGAAAGTTGTAGTATGCATTAAGGGCTTTCTAACTACAAAATATGAGCTTATTTCGACTTATGGTTTGTAAGTTATATATTGTCAAAGTATGGACCTGCATAGTCGGTAAAATCCGATTCCGGAATTCCCGACTAACTTTTATAATCCAACTTTCATGATTCGCTACATTTATATGCTATAAACATACATCACCGTAAAACAAGTCCAATGATCACTACCTTAAGCTTAATGATAACTCTTATTTTTAAGAGTTATTTCCTTTTTATTTACTCCCTTTTTGCTTTTATTAAATGCCCAATTTTGTTGTTTTTCCCTTTTTATTCCAAAAAGTTTTAAAAAGATGATGAAACACAGAGGAAGAAGTATTATTCCAAAAACCTGTATTTTTTTGACAGCACTGCCCACTGTGGCACCACTGTGGGGTGTCTACCAGCCTTGTTACTACTTCTTGGGAAACGTGCAGCTTGAAGATCTCCTAGATATTTTTTCCTCCAGCTGTTATGAGCTGTCTTCCATGCTCTATTTTATTTTCTTTTGTATTTTTCTTTACTTGTTTTAATTGCCCAATATGTAATGATTGGGTATGGCCTTCCTCCCTTCCTCTCCCCTATATAAAGAGGCTTGAGTGAGCCATTTTGGGTGTGCCATCTTGAGGCAACTTGTGCCCAAAACACCATCTTTGGTACCAACTTGTAGATATTGCTCTCATATAATTAGTAATTAATGCTTTTTAATTTTATGTCTTTAATTTATTGTCTTTAAATTTATGTCTTTAATTTTATGTCTTTAATTTCTTGTCTTTAATTTATTGTCTTTAAATTTATGTCTTTA